GGGGGGGGGGGGGGGGGGGGTCCAACGCCAGCGTGAGGAGTAGGGTCCAACTATGGGAGTGGAGGCTTGGGGGGGGTGGTCGTGATCGTGGTGATCCTGGGGACTGCCTTCAAAAAAACATAATTTCACTGATTTTCAACTCTTGTAGGATGAGATACATGTGCAGACATTCACAGAGCTACGGAGGAAAGGATCAAAGCAAACGCGTCGGTTCCTCCGTCTCTGCTGCACTATTGCAGACACCAAGAGAAACCACACCCGTCATTTCTGGCTATCTCCCTGCGGCGCGATTGCCAGCACATCGAGTCCACCACAAGGTACATACTCCAACGGACGTCCCGTCCCTGTTCTCACCTTGCGAGCACAGCGAAACCATCGCGAGGTACAGCAACGGGCCACAATCCCTGCCGTCAAGATTGCGAGCGCAGCGTTCCCATCGCAAGCTACACCAGCGGACCACATCCATCCCTGAAGCACGATTGCAGCCAAACCACCACAAGCTACACCAATCCATCTCTCGGTCACGATTGTGTACACCAGGGCAGGGGTAGCACACAAGAAACATGGTGCCGCACCTGGCTATGTTCTGTTCGCGCATGGTTCTGATCTGGAGGCTGAGAGCCTCCACCACGTTGTTGCAGAAGTCTCGTCGGTACACCTGGAACAACAAAAATATATATGCCTTTGTAGAATTTCGACTTTTTTACTCTTCGCAGTCGTTTTTCTCCGCTGGGACAGCGCTTTTTCGCGCACTTTCTTCTGCATGGCACGCAGAGGACCCGTCCGTACATTACCCGTTACGTGTGGGGCTCGCGAGACATCGGTGGTGCGCATTAGGACAGCTTAAATTCGCTGAGACTGGCTCTTTTTTCAGGGGTTGGGAATCCGAACCATAAAAGCCTCCTCGAACGCCGCGAAAACTGAAAGCCGAACTTATTTTTTACCCCGCGCCAAGCGCCAGGCGCCACGCGCCCACGCGCCCACACACCTGCTGCTGTGATTGTTGTGGACACAACCACCACACGGCAACTGGCGCATGTGTACCCACAGCGGGGATCACAACTCTTGATGCTCATGGGAACACACTATGCGACACAACTCTGGCAGCGTTAAATTTGTACATTTCCATTCCGAAAAATCGAAAAAAGTCAAAGACAGAAGTTGGTAGGGTACGTAGCAGCGGTGGCAGCATCTATCTGCGACTCTTCTTGGGGACGTTGAGCGTTTGTTTGATCCGTTGTTGGTGGTGTATGCGCGAAAAAGTCCCACGGAGCATGGGAAACACGATCGATCACACAAGAAGAGAAAGTGACCACACGCAGCGGACTACAGCAGCAGGACCTACCTGCAGCAAACCGCTGCACTCGCGCACAAGGGAACGTCGCGGCGGGAGAAAATTAAATTCCCCGCAAATATGGTGCAAATTCCAGGGAAATTACTAGCATGCAGGTTGCACACAGGCCGGCACAACCGAACGCTATGACGACCGACCATGCAACAGCGATGGCATTGATTGGCCATGTCCGCTTGCGACGCCCCCGGGAGGCAAATCACCTAACTCCCGCAGGGGAACCTTGTGTATACAAGTATCATTATATATTGGTTTATGAAAGAGTCGAAACTCGCTTAAGATCCACAACACTGAGAACACTCCCTCGGTTAAGGGCAACTTTTTTTTTTTCACAGGCATGGTGGCTCGCAGAACGGGCATAAGAAGGGGTGTCAACGTTAAGGACACTTCCCCGGCTGCAGGACGCATTCTTGAGCAAAAAAACAGGTGTGCCCTTAACCGAGGTTCGACTGTAGTTAGATCGGAAGTCACGTTGCTACGGTTTTGTGGCTGCTGTTCATGCCGGTGTTCTTTTCGCGGTGCTTGTGTTGTGCCTGGACACCACCACACTAAGGGAAACACCCCTCGGGGACAAAGATTAGTCCCTCCTTTTCATTGTCGTTGACGTCATGCGGGCGAATGATTTCGGCATTGGTGTTGGCAAGAGGCAGAGACAGCAACTAGCCTGTGACGACACTGACCAATGGGTGTGATACCGCCGTGTGTCGGGGGTGTGATATCTTGCGTTGTCCTGTTCTTACCTCTTGGGGCCCATATCGACTCGTATAAATGTAACAGTACTGTAGCGGCCACGATTATAGTGGCACCCTGAACAGTGAATTGCCCGATATATGGCACCAACATCTCTTGTCACAAAATCTCAAACTGTGCATAAACCCGGTGTAGTGGCACTGCCCTGAATACCATGTATGACACAAGATAACACACCCCCCGGACCGATTTTCAAAGCTCGATTACTTCACGACGAAGAGGATGCATAAACGAAATGATACATTTTCGAAAAGCTCTAGACGAGACGGTTTCAACGCCGCCATTTCCGGCGGTGTGATCGTTCCTGCAGTTGAGAAATCGAGCTTCGAAAATCGGTCAAGGGGGTGTGTTATCTTGTGTCATGTACGGTTGTTGTTGTTGTTGTTGTTGTTGTTGTTGCCTTCACATTAGACACCGTTCCGATCTCTCTCTACCCAGTGCCTTCGTATGTCCGTACTGATCCAACACTCGACGCGGTCGATTCCCGTGGTCGCAGGCTAACTTACCCTAAAAAGGCACACTCAAATCAAATGGCCCCGAGGGGTCCGCAAGTCAACAGAAATCAACGGCAGATGTTCTGGAGTCCTCCACTCCCTCTGCGCGCTATAGTGGCATATTTTGCTCTTTCCCCTACATGTCATTACATCGGGACCGCTACTCTGTACCACCGAAAGCGGTGTCATCTGATGTGGGTGTGTTTTCTTTGCGTCATACACGGCAATTGACGGTCTCGGAGAAGGACGTTTTGATACCGGCCGTAACCGCCGAACGCGCGGCGTCATTTCTGTAGAGGTACCTGCGTAACTTCGGCCGCCTCATACTCCTTCTCAGCCCTGCCTCTCCTCTGGGCGGGCCTGCCGCGGAGGTTGGCGCTCTGCACGATCCTCTCGTACATCATGTACCGCTTAGACTCGCCGTAGTGCGGCCTGCGCCCAATAACACACACAGGTACACCGCACTGAATGGTCACTAGGGTTGGCGCGGTCGATGCTCGTAAGCACGCGCACACACACATATCGCACCGAGATTGACGTCGTTTGAATGGTGACGACTCTGGACCAATGAATACACATAGGACCACCATACAAGGCGGGGAGATGTCTCAAGCAACGACCATCATTCTACCACCATCGCAAACATTAACGCATCACTGATCACACGTCAGGAATACTATACCATGGGCAGCCGACGGTACGGTAAAGCACTTCCATAGAAAATCGCACCGTGAACCTCTACACTTGGGAGACTCTCGCCGTGATACCTGATCGTCTTGAGCAGTTTCATGATCTTTTCTCGCGTGACGTGGCCCGTCCCCTCCTGGTCCAACGCCTCGAAAGCCCTGTGAACGCCCCGCGCGAGGAGCAGCCACAGCAACCGCGAACCAACGTTGTAGCCAAAACTCGATGTGCCGATGTTCTTGCTATGGTCTCCATACCGAGGATCATTTAATGTAAGCATTGGATTGGACGAGGCCTCCTGCCCTGGGCAGGGGTCCACGCCCAGTATGTCACTCCGCGCTGAGAAAGAACATTTGGTGTGTCGTGCGATGTTCGAAGTCTTGACGACGCGTGCTCCCGCACAACTCAAAAACAGCACCCGTTTTTCCGTCAGTAACATGCTTGGCTCTTGGCGGGAAAGGACTCCTTGGCCGCGGCCAACGAAACACACCCAAAACGACTAGCGGCCAATCGAAATATCGCATTTGTGTCACCGTTTTCTGAGTCCTTTCTCTGTCTTGTGGGTGGTAGGTAATTAGTACCCTTGTCGAGGCCGCAGATGGGTGTGGATGTTGGAACGCACTGGGCAGAGCCCGGAACGGTTGTTCAATGTGAACAACCAACAACAACAACAATGTTTTCTTCACAAACCACTAGGGACACAGGCCATCACCACTTTCTACAACGTAGGCCCCGCGCACTTCCGTCCTGCCCTTGGCGGGGTCATAGATGGCAGCATACCAGGTACACACCAACGAGCATGATCGAGCTGTCGACATGGAGGTGTGGGGTGTGTGTATCCCTCTTTGGCAATGAAATGGTGACGTCGCCAGAAGGAGGTCGTAGACGAAAGCGGTTGCGCGTTCGGTCCTATTGCATTCGCTTTGCTGTTGGAAGTCACCGGCTCACCTTCTTACGCTCTCCTCCCTCCACATCCTCTTCTGCCTGGCGTAGATCTTCATGCGCTCACCAAACTCGTTCCACACCTACACAGCAGCACACCGGTTTATCAATGGAAGATTGGTTATGTCTTGGACGAGTGGTCTTTCTGTGAGGTTATGCATACTTCTTAAGAAAAACGTACAACGTGCACTTACGGGGGACTGCCATGAATGAACACAAGCAAGCTAGGAGTACCAAGCATCGACGATGCCCCCGAAAAGAAACAAGCAACGGTCGCATTAACAAACACAGCTCCACGGTAGATCCTACCCCTACTTTCTCCCCGAAGCCCACCCCCTTAGACTGCGCCTATGTTACGACCCCCCCCCCCACACACACG